AGGTGCAAAAATTTAAATAATGATTTTAAAATAGTTTTATTATGAAAATATAACTTGTGTTTACATTTTAATCCGTAATTTTAAACCACTTTCATTCAAAAATGAATAAAAATACAGAAAATAGACGAACTATTGAATCAAATCATTGAATATATCAATATTCTACAGTACAGTTAAAAGGACTATTCATGTCTTACGAATCATGATTTTTCTCATTGATATATTCATTTGATATTTCTCTGTTCCAAAAACTTGATTTTTCATAATTCATATATTAATTTTATGAAGATATCAATTAGTTTTATATTAATTATGTTATATACATGTAATTAAATAAACACATATTATGTTTTGTATTTTTTTTTAAATTTTCAGCTAAAGATGGCACTGACGGTAGGACATTAATTTGGATTTTTTTCCGAAAATGAATATAGCTGCAGAACTGTAGCTCTCCGAAAAAATACATATTGATAGACTGGAGATCTACAGTGCCACCCATTGAAAAAAAACTGTATATTTATTGCGCACAAAAAAGTGTGCTCGATTCTTGATTAATTCTTCCAAATTCTTACCTCAATTGCAAAAAAAAAAAAAAAACAAACAAACAAAAACTAGATTTCAATAAAGTCCATACTCCTCTATAAATCACACTTGTTGTTTACATCTGTACGAAGCGCTTTAGACCGAATTATCTTGCAAACCAAAATGGCAGTATAAATAGGCAAAATGTTCGATTATTTCAATTTCAGGGCCAAGAGGGCTATTAAAAACAATTATAAAGAATGTTTGGTGTGGAAACAGTGAAAGAATATGTTAGAAACGCAATAAATATATAATTTTTTCAATGGGTGGCACTGTAGCTCTCCGGTCTATCAATATGTATTTTTTTCGGAGAGCTACACTTCTGCAGCTAACATGAATACTGCATGAATATGCAAAATGTGAATTCCTGGTGATTTCTAGTTTATACTTGTAGTTTTATCATAATATAGTTCGCCTTATGAAAATAAAATCTGCACAATGAAAGATTATTCCATTCTTTTTTTTAAGTGGCCTGAACAGTCACTTAAGTATTATACAACAGTCCTTAGAATATTTTTATATAATGACACAGGTTTTTTTTTTGCAAAATCTGGTATAATTTTAAATTCATACCTAATAGAACAATATCTTTTGAAAGAATTTTCAATAGATGTATTGATACATATTGTTTATTGTATTGTTTATTACAAGAATTTAAAAATGCAGATTTTATTTGTTTAATCAATTATTCAGTCTTTAAGAAAATGTTCACAATGGTAATAACTCCTTTCAGTTATCTTCATTTAGGCATTTTCTGTATTGTACTTCTTATGAAAAATAGTTCCAATTCAAAAGTACCTTATGAGTATTCAGTATTTACATGTAACAAGACAGAGTCTAATGATGTGCATGACTTTTTGCAGCTTTTTAATTTCATCTGAGTAAAAGTATCATATGTGGGACAAAACACCTGAATATTTTTATTTTGATACAAAGTTAACAGTATCTGTAACTCCTAATGGTCTGAAAATGAAATTTTACGACAACAATTAACGATTAAACCCTGAAATTGCCCGGCGTTACAATTTTCTGAATGTGTAAACAATGTATAATGTTTAAGGTTTCGTCAAAGGTCAACATGTCTACAAAATTATTTTTACAATTGCTCAAAAACTATGTGTGGTATAGAGTCAAAACGTTTACAGTTTTTAAATGTATCTCTGATTAATAGATAGAAAGTATCACTTGATAGCAAATATTTTTAAAAAGATATTTTTTTTTAGAAAAATTGCCACAGAAAATGTGCATATTTAAAGAAAAATGCACCTGCTTAATTCTGTCCTTTTTGTTAAAACCAATATTGTAGAAATAATATATGTTTATCATTAAAGGGCAAGTTGGACGTGAATAGTCTCTGAAAGGCTGTTATTGAAAGCATGACATGTACAAAGACAAGATCCCTATAGAATCCGCCATTTGCAGTGTACTTTCACTTTCAAGTCTTAACATTTGGACAAAATAAACAGAGAAAACAACTTTCCAGAAGCTATCCAAGTCCAACTTGCCCTTCATTGTTAATCTGTTAATCAATTACAAATTTATAAACTGTAAAAGTTTTAACTTTATACCTTACATAGTTTTGGGGCTATTGTAAAAATAAATTTTTGGACATGTTGACCTTTGACGAAACCTTAAGAATGAAGCATAATTCGCTTATGTGTTCAAAACGTCCATGGATATTATATGATACTTAAAACTAAAGACACAATATCATAAGAAACATGCATATGCTAGCAACATAAACATTTCTATTTTTTTAACCGAAAAAATGATGTGCTCCGATAATTCATATGCACTTATATGTATTTATATCATTATACATGTATATCAATTTTTGAGAGATTGATCTTTGAAAAATTATTAAATAGTTATTTCCTAGACCAAACAAGATGGTGAACTTTTTTGAAATTTGACGATTTGGTGGTCTTTACAATAACTTTTATTTACTAAAATGAAAAAGAAATATTTAGGGCAGAAACACAAAAATATGTTAAAAATGTGATAATTTCTCGTTTTTCCAACTGATTTCCGTAGAGTCTTATAGTATTAATTGACATCTTTTGAGAGGGCCAACTAAGAAATTTGAATGGTAAACATTCGATTTTTTAACGTTAAAACAATAAATATAACAGTAAATATTAATTATCGAAAGAATCCCTAAAGTAGAAATAAGAAAACTCTGCCTCATCAGAATTATGCATTTGAACAAGAATTTACATAATGTTCATACATGTAACAAATGTGCGATTTTTTATGTTGACATATACATGTAGGTCTACTTCTGATTATTTATTGCTGCCATCTTAGATTATAGGGCGACCTTTATATTTTTGGGAATAATTTGAAAATTTAAACTATATAAAATGCAGTTTTTGTACTTTGAACCATTACAACTGGGAGGATGGAAAGACCTCAAGGTATACTTTTACTCAGACCAGACAACAAAATTTTTTTTGCTGACCCATTTTACACCCGGGCTCTTGATTTGAATAAACTTGAATTTACACTATTCGCAGCACTGTTAAGGCTTGAAAAAGGGGCGGGGCCTAATTTATACGGGAAATTTTTACTGTCACGTCACACAAAATTGGTACATTTTGTATCCCTCATATCACAAGAAAATCAAATACTTTTCAATTTTTAACTGTATTAGCATAATAAACAACATAAAAACTTATCAATGCATTAAAAATAGTTGCAGTGAAAATGTATATTATTATTGAACAGAATATTAAATACAGATTTTAGCTATTTATATCAATGTAAGACATTTGTTTAGTACGATTATTCAATGATCAGCAAGAGAATATATTTAATTAATTTTACCGTGTTTATGTGTGCAGGTTTGGCATGTTTAACATCGAGGTGGCTTATTAAATCGCCTTTTTGCAAAGGCATACACTTAATAAATCTATGTTAGCCAATTTGGAATATAAATACAGGATATGTTCCTTAACTTGAAAAGTGCTGTTGCTTTTTTAAATTGAGAGTGTGACTTAATAAGGACAAAAAATATATAGTTAAAGTCAAATACATTTCGATATAAGCATATTTACTTAAAATTTTAACTTATAAATGCGAAAATTATATAAAGCAGCAGTACTTTCTAGAAACTACAAAGTATGCAGAAACAATTCGAAACTTAAATGTTTAATTTTAACTAGTATATGCCCTTGCGATATTGAAATTTTTTTATGACCTATATGCCGTATACATACTATGCATTTATCACGTGACTGTCCATTGATGGGACCTAACTTAATTCAGTGCGGAGTGGGGTATACTATATTATTTCAATAAGCATTTGTCATGTATAAAACGGCTTTATAAAAATTAACTCAGTTTTAAAAAGTTCCTTTTTTTGCAAGTTTATATTCTATTGATTTCTTTATATTAGGCCTTAACAGTGCTGCGTCTGCCGATATTTCCACTTGCTGTAAAATCACAATTTTTCAAAGGGTCTAATTTTCGTGGTTTAAGGAAAATATATTAGTTCAGGGGTATTTGATTTCATGGTTGAAGAATTGATTAATAGATGTGAAAATTTGCATTTCGTGGTGGGCATAAATTCGTTGGTCTCTTCATACATGTACCTTGAAAACCACGAAAATGAAGCCCTTACGAAAATTAGTTATTTCACAGAGTTTCCTTTTCCTTGTCGCAGTGGTCTGCAGAAGAGGATTTTTTGAAGGTTTTTCTTATGCATCTCTGTGAAAAAAATGGACCATCTAATACATAAGGGGAAAATAACTCGCTGTGTTGATACTCGCTCTATTAACGGTGTTAATAAGTTCGCAAATTCAAGAAACAGTGAATAATTTTTCAAAAATCTCCATATTTTATTTGGAAATTTGAGAATAAACACGATAAGTATTTACGTGCAGTACAATTGTACATGGACATAGTTCTTGTCAAAAAATTACTTTAATAAATGCGTTATTTTAATTAAAATCAGCAGATAATAGCCTGTATGTATTAAAAAAGATGGGTTAATAGCCAACGCTACATGTGTCATCAATCAAAACATTTGAGCCATGGGTTTTGTTAACCCAAGCATAACTAATGTAACCACGCTTTTTTTGTTTTTGCTTAACTAGTGCATATTGTTTAAAAAAAAAGATTCAAATTACTTTCGAACTTACTGAAGATGTGGAATGATATTAACTCGTCGACCTACATTAACAAATTTATTATCGTCAAGATGTAATTAACGTATCGTAATAGCATATAGGAAAGCCATTTGATAACTTTTGATAACTGCACTTGTTTAGTTAATCGTAATTTAATGAATAAATAATAATAAAATATGCACCTGAGTAACTCAGTTGATATGAAAAGTCTGCTAACGATGACTTCAATACCTAAATCTTGAACTTTAAGAACTGATTAGTCTAATTTAATCTTTTACAAACAGGTTTGTTGCCTAAACCATTTCGAAAACTAAACGAAGATGGTGATGATTTTTCCAGAGAGGTCAGGAGATATTGGAAACTACATGAAGCAGTTCCATATATACATATAATTGATATCTTTTGTATCAACTTTTCCACACTTATATTCTTTAATTAATTTGCTTTTTTAAACAATAGCATTATATGTTGTTTTGTTGATAAATCATTAAAATGTTACTCCTTTAAATAAGGAAAATATAACTCAGTTGTATCAACAAATTCAGTTGCATATTTCTTTACTGAGCGAAATCTCATCTCACTTCCTTTATACGGTATTTGGATTGTATCCATAAAACTCACTTGTCACGACAGGCGATATAGAAAAGACACTGCTCAAGGACCCTGAGTGCCGACCAAAGTTTAAAATTTGAAACCCATCACCCTATGTGTATGATGACATCTCTATATGAGTGAAAATTATCTCAAATTATTCACAGATAATATACATTAATTCAATCTTTTAGGATATAAACATGTTTAAAACATACATTCATTTAAATTTAATGGATAAAAGATCAGATTACAAATGTTAAAAAAAATATTCTAATGAAAAAATCACTGATCAGTATATCCTTGAAATAGAATGATATATTTTGTGTTTAAATAAACACAAATTAAGTACTAAATGTATGATGGAATTAGATGGTATGCTGTACTGGAAGAAAATATTTACCATAAAAAACCTAACAAATAAACTTTTTTGAAATAAGAATTATACATGATAAGAGCCAATTTTAGCCCCCTAAGAATTTTCTTTTTAGAATGATATTCATATAAGTTTAATAGATTTTTATTTTGTAGAAGAGATTAAAAATATTTTCTTTTTTTTTTTTTTTTTTTACATTTATAAGCACTTAATGTCTGTACTTGATATGAGAAATGCTATTTTTGCCATCCAATCACAACAATCAAAAAATTTGCCTTTTTCTTGATGTTTTTTTTCTTATGGGAAACATAGAGCACAGTGTAGAACAAATATAATTTTCCTGTTACCAATTAGTATTGGATAGAGACATCTTTGGTTAAAATATTAAATTTGTTTTAGTCTGAGCTCAATATTTTCTGGGGAAAAAATTGCTTAAAATTATTTTATACAAAATATGCAAAAATTGCTGGAAATCGTGAATATAATGATGTCATTTTTCTAAATTAACAGCATTTTTATCAAATTGAAAATGACCAATACAGGTCACATGTATAGCTGTGCAAAGTACATCAATATATAATGTAAGATTAGGATATCTATTTTAAAGGCCATTTGATAACCTATCAAATATTGCTCTTTACTAATTATAACAGGTAAAAACATTTCTTTGTATAAATTTTTATAAGTTCAAGGAGAAATTGATGCAGGAAGTCATTGAAAAGAAACCACCAGAGGGCATAGGTTATTTTAACATCCTCCTACTGGGACAAGCTGCATCTGGAAAATCGTCTTTCTTTAATACCATTTCTACGGCCATAGCGAACGAAAAAAGAATACTTGAACCACTTTCTGTACTTGAAAGTTCAGACAGCAGTGTTACATCTAAGGTATACTATTTTGTGAAAAAAGTATTTCTTCAAACATGTCTTTCAATTCAGATATTACTCTTTTGATGACTGAAAATGCTTGCTTATATATGGGTAAAATTTACATCTTAAGTGCTTTGAAATATTTAATTATCCAGGTCTAATCACGGATGAACAGGGATTTACCCCGGTTTTTTTTCCCATACAAGCTGAGACCGATTTATGCTTGTGTCAGTAAAGGTTATATAAATCTTTGACTTCTCAAAAACGTAAATTTTCAGCGTCTAGAGATACTTTATCCAAACTTTATATTTCCTTTATTTGACCACAGTATGAATTTGCATTCGAACTTTGGTCAGATTGTTCGTTAGCAGATATTGATAAACATATCAAGTTAAACGGATTGCTTGAAGAAAAGTGACAAATCTTCCAGTATTATCATCTTAAACTCATTATTTGTGAAAACAGGTTGAGATCCTCTTATAATATGAAATGACAAAACCAAGCTTCATATTTAAAAGTCCGCCATGTACAACAAATGCAGCTCGATTTTTACCATGCATTAGGTTTATCAATGTCTTAATCTGAGCAAAAGAAAAATTCCTGGGCATTTTTAAATGCCTATTTTTTCAGATACTGGGGTCAAATTTTCTCTAATGTGGCATAGTGCAGTATCCCTTGGACTTCCGGTCAAGAAACTGTCAATTATGCTTTTGAAACAAATGAGCCCGAAAAGTCCTTATGTAGTGTATGTTTGCATCTACCACTCTCCTTTTCTTTATTTTATGTATTTCTAGCATTAGCAATAAAAATGAGTGCTTTCAGTCAATTTGAGGAAATAAAGGCATCATGTCCGGAAAAGAAAGAAGGCTTTTTCTCTCGAAAATTGAGTACAATACTTGTGATTAATGGCTAAAAAGCCTTGAAAACCCAAAATATTGTCAAACATTTAATTAAAATGCTTATTTTTGATTTTCGTTAAAAGAGCTAAAATCAATTTCGGATAATGATGAAAATCATTTAACCCTTAAATAACTGATTTGGCAGTTAGTTAATGATGTCCTAACTTTTTTAGTTATAACCCGTTTATATAATTCAGCCCCCCAAATTAGGGTGTTGCCTTTCTTTTGAGTTTCAGTATTATATGTTTAAACACATTTGACAATTCTTGTCTTTTTCGGAGGAAGTACTTATACTGTACATGTATTGTTTATTTAAACCTTATTGGTCTCCTTCAGGTTATTTCATTAATGTAGCTTCATGTACATAGAAGAGACATTGTTTTCGGGTGTCAGAATTGTGCTGTAAAGCACTTGCATTTTGAAATGCTATGTTAAATATTTCTACGAAAGATTATTATATTTATGTGAAAGAAATTAAATTGATAAAGACAGTTACCTTGATCTAGTACCTTAATTCAATGATTTATTCAAATATTGGCACATGAGTGAAATTGACTTGATATTTTCCTGTATTACAATTGATGATTTTTTTTATTTTCAAGAAATCAGTACATTTTAAAACAAAGATTTAAATAATTATGCAGCTTTAATATTATAGTGAGACACATTGCACATAACTCAATTGATATCAGATATTGACGGAATAAACTTGAATGAGGCTAAAAAAATCAATATTAATTTGTTACAAAAATATTCTAACAGTTACAAACACAGCCATTGAAATCACACAGCACTGGTTCTACCTTACCTATTCGAATATACGATTGCCGTGGTCTACACAAATCAACTGGAATTCCGACAGACGACATTCAGAAAGTGGTTCAAGGACATATAAAACCCGGTTACACGGTATGTTCTTCCGATTTCTAATGAAAAATCATGCTGTGTATGTATCTACGATGATTTTTACTTTAAATCATAAATGTTCCATGATTAAAAAAATGTATTTTATATATTCATATCATACTCGTACGAGTTGTTGATACTTCCAAATGGTAAAAACTAAGCTTAATCCATGCAAACATGGGTATGTTAAATTACGAGCACTTCCAATTATGACAGAACCCTTCACTTCAGTTTGCAAAATTTCTTATCTTTTTAAACAAATACAAAGGACCATGAATGATCGTTTAAAAGAAATTGTCTCTCATCAATATATGTTTCTTTATTTCTTAATAGAGCCTACTGCTATAACGGAATTGTTCTAATAGAAAATTTTCTAATTATAAGCGATGTTGCTGATTGATAAAATTTATATGGCTCAGTTATATAGAGAAGTCTTTTTACTTTTAAAAATGTATTTTTAAACTGTAGAATTTGTAAATTTTCATAGATCTGTTTACTGTAGCCATACATGTACATAAAAAATTCAGAGTAAGGTATAATTGATACCTCATTCCTTGCAACATAGTGCAACGTTCAGTCAGAATTCTGACAGGTAATAAACTGAAGTTTAGCAGTCTGTCAAACGCAGAGCATACAAAAATTGTCCCAAAAAGTCGTTGACAGGGAAAACGGTTAAGTTTCTCTTTGCTCAATTAATTTTCGTTCTTTGTCATGGCAAAAAGTAACATTTTATGATTATGCATTTCAAGTTTCATGATGATATCACATCTAATAGGAATATTATGTAAAAATAAAAAAAAGACTAGATATGAAACTCGTTGCGAGCAACGAGAGGTCTTCCGTCCGATTCTGGAAAGAAAACGTAAAATCGAGCTAAAAATGAAAAGAAAAAGATTTGCACACAAGGGGAATTGAACTCAAGTCGCCAGCAGGAAATTCCAAAGCACTTAATATTATGCTATCAGGACCTCTACTCTAAATCTACTTGAATATATTATGGAAACAGTGCTTCTCTCTTAAAATTATGAAGGGTGGGTCACTATTCAAAATTTAGCGCCAAACGCCACGAGTTAATCTTGAGCCTTTTCTTTGGAATTTTCTATTATATAGGTGTGATAGCTTCATGAAATTAAAAAAAGAACGCTCTTATAGCTTAAGATTCGAGGTTTAGAAATATCTTTTTAAGTATGGTTTTCTTATTTCTGTCTTTTGTATTTGTTTAATTCAAGTGTGCATTAGGAAAACGGTGGTTACGTTTAATACTTACTATATATGTTTCTTAAAAACTATTACTTATAACTATGGTTTAAAATCTGTTTTTCCGCAAAATGTAAAAGATACTAGGTATCGTATTTCATTTGCACATTTAGTCTTTTCTTTTTCTACTTTGAGAACCAGCCAAAACCAATTATAGAAGACGTTTGAGACCACCATGGATTAAAAAATAGTTTGACACACGTTTGCAACGTTACAACGACGTGACAATCCTAGTATTCCTTTATCCTTATTTTACTTTCGTTCAAGCAAACGCTCTGCTGCCTCCGTAAACCCCTATTGCGAAATGTCGGAGTTGACAGAGACAGCCGCCATTTTGGACCTACTTCAGATTTTTGAATGTTGATTTCTAGAGTTTGGATTTATCAATATTCAAACAAATTATATAGTAAGCATTATAAGAAGGGTCTCTATTAAAATTCTAAAAATCAATGAAAAATATCGAAAAACAAAAAAGTTAGAAAATACGGACTTTTTAATTTCGCTTCCGGTAGCAACCGGAAGTACCGACGACACACGAAAAGGTGATTCGTCATATCTAAAAGTCATCATCTATAATCTCTTACAAGTCTCCAGTTAATATCTTAAACCATTTTCGAAAAAAGGGGGACAAAATTGTATTTTAAAATCAGAAAAGTGTCAATAACTTGGAACCAAAGGTGAGTATTCCAAATTTTTCTATCCATGCCACAACTTCATATAATGACGCATAATTCCTGAAATTTTCACAGAAAACTACTGAATAGTTTTCGAGAAATCGCGTGCACAAAATTTTGGGGAAAAAAAAAATAACAATTAACAGTAGAATCACTAGAAGGTCTTCCGTGAAGACGGAAGACCTTAAATATGTGTACACCGGCGCACGAAAGCAAGCGTAAATTACGTCTCTTATAGCGTAATTTCTCTTTGTCTGCTTCACTCGCGTTAATTTACATTCAATATCTTTTTTAAGTGATAAATCACTCTTGACAAAGGGACTTATTTAAATTCACTGCTGTCCTTTTGTTTTTATTTTTAATTTTTTTGTTGTTACCAGATTCAAATTTCAGTCGAAATTTAGTCGAAAGATCGCCTTACATTGCAGGCAGCAGAGAATACACATTGTTTGACGTGGTTCACGATCAAGATTGTTACTTATTGTTTGCGTTTAACAAACAGTACTCTACTTATTACATGCCTTGACTATTTTTGCTATAAAGGAAAAACTCTCATTGAATATAGTGCCATTTAAAAATAAATTCTTTATTAAAATCTGGTGTGTAATGTAACTTCTGTTCTCTTTTTTCCATGCAGTCTCTGATGTATATAAACCATATCCAACACAATATAGTACATCTCCTTGCGACGGTTAGGGGTTTGACGACGTCATTTTCATCAAACTCAATACCAATGATACTATGAAAATCATGTCACCAATCGTCTGTTTCTAAAGGAATATATATGAAATTTTGACATATTATTAAGACTTTGATTCTGGTTTCGGTGATTTAGATTTGAGTTCAATGAATTACATATTACTAAAGAAATCAAAACAAATGTAATAGTTATATGCATAAATTATTCCGAATTTTGTTCGTGCACCGACAGGCCTTATCGGTCTTCATACTATCGTCCTAATATTATTAATATAAAAGATATTTTGTTAAAAAATCACAATTTTAAAGAACATTGAATATATCATGTCTATGCAAAATTTGGTAAGCATTTATTGAGCGGTTAAAAAATTATAAACATTGTCTACAACTTTTTGGGACAACCCCGTATATTATTTCAGTCAACGTCAATTTACGCATCATCGATTTCAATCAACACTGAAGCTCCATCATCATCATAACTTCGCTTCATCGTTATCGTGACATTGCATTATCACGACGTCGACCTTCAAGACAAAGCTCGATCGTGAGATAGGGAACTGTATGGCCCTATCCGGATATACTGAATTTAAAAATTTGCTAAAACACAAAAAAATGTATGAGATGAATGGAACATCTATTGTGTTATTAGACTTTTTCTTTATCCAACACGTCGAAATTGCGTATAGTCAATGAGCAAGCCTTGCAAATGATAATCATTTCCGCGCATTGGATAAGGAAAGTATAAAAACACACGGTTTTCTATCAATGACGTAGCCAGGCTACTTTTGATGTAGACGCAAGGGTAGGCATGGGGTTTGGGGGGCCTAATGTCCCAAATAGGTAGGTGGTTTAGCCTTGGTAAGGATCCAGAGGGCGATGCCCCCGACAGCTATTGAATTTCGATGAGCATATTCGACCCTTCTGATCGTATTTTTCTTACAATTTTTTTTCGAACCTCGAATCTCGAATGAGTCTTTTGATTTGTTAATCTGGATCTTGAATCTCGAAACTCGAATTTCGAATTTCGAATTTTGAATCTCGTATTTCGAAACTTGAATCTCGAATGAGCCTTCTGGGCTTTCGTAAAGAACCCACTTAAAACAATTTTTGACTTTTAAAAAGACAAAATACTGATGATAAATTAATCCGTTTGATTGGTACATGTATATAAGAATGTAATGCACTTAGAAAATACGTAAACCAGATTCAAGGAAAATCTAATGATTTCAGAAATAGCTTAGCTGTTAAAGAAACTGAATTGATTTTACCCTGGAGCAGATGTAGGTTTTGTGAACAGTGGCATAGCCAGGCTACTTTTAAAGTAGACGCAAAAGTAGGCAGGGGCTTTGGGGGCCTAATTTCCCAAATGGGTCCGGAGAGGATCCAGAGGGCGATGCCTCCGTCAACTATTGAATTTCAATGAGTATATTCGACCCTCTTGATCGCATTTTTCTAACACTTTTAAACTTGTTATGCAACCATGTTTTGAGGTCTGTTTTGTTTTTGTACAAAAGATGCACAACCACTCTAAAATGAGAAAGAATATGCCCAATCTATTGTATCGTTGTTCATGTAATATGAAGAGCCCACTTAAAACAATGTTAGACTTTTGAAGAGACAAAATACTTATGATAAATTAATCCGTTGCATTGGTACATGTATATAAGAATGTAATGCACTTAGAAAAAAATCAGCAATACATAAACCAGATTAAAGGAAAATCTAATGATTTCAGAAATAGAGATGTCTACTATCATATTTTCCCCTAAAACTGATTCTGTTAATTATCAGTTATTATTCATTGTTTATTAAATTGTTTCTAAAAGTATTTAATTATTGCAAAATGATTTAAGAGCATAACATTTCGTCAGCCTCTCCCTCTCTTCTTTTTTCCCTAAAATGATGTGAACTTTTTTTGCGTACAAACGTTCGCCTTGCTACGCGCCTGTCTATTTACTTGTATATAGTATTCTATTGACTTATGAAAGCGTCAACAGTCAGTAGAATTAAATTTGCTTTGTTCCACTGCTTTTAGTTTAATACATACGAGACCATCAAAGAAAAGGATCCATTCTACCGATCTAAACCTGGACTAAATGATGCAATCCATTGCCTTGTATACGTGGCAAAAGCAGATAATCCATCTGAAGCCTTGACTGATGAAAGTGTTAAACAGCAGTTTGACAAAATGCGATCAGATCTGTGTAAAATCAGTGAGTATTATAAATGATTCCTAAAAGATTATTGTCAGGTGTTTATCTCAACTGCATAATGTATAAATTATTAAATTTTTTTTCTCAAAAAGGTCTTGAGAAAGATAAAAAATTGTTTGTAATTTAACATTTCCATGTTTATATTATCCTCATTTTAAAAATTTATAACTACAAGACTAAAGTATCAGTCACATTATCCAGCGAATGAGTATTCGATGAGAAACCGATGCGTGTTTTTTCATTAAATTTGTGTGGTTGCTAACCGGACATCTATAGTACCGACCGGACACAACCTACCAGAAAGCGAACCCGGAGCGGAACACGGGTTCGGTCTCTGGGTCCGCTAGGGCAGACTCCGAGCGAACCCGTAGCGGACCCAGAGCGAACCCGAAGCGGACCCAGAGAGCAAACCCCAAATTAAGTAGCGGTTCCAGAAAGCAAACACACGTTCGGTATTCCTTTACGGAGCTGACAATCAGGATTATCGATTAACCAATCAGCGCGTCGACCAATCGAAATGGTATGTTGATCTGTCGACAAGGATAAAAGATCGAATGTGTGAAGCTCTGATGCGGCCATCGGGCGGGAAATGTGACTTAAACTCCAGTTACATTTCTAACAAGAGACCCAGGGGCCACATCGCTCACCTGAGAAAATCGGCTAGGAAAAAGCACAAATCAGAAGGGAATGGGAGGGGGCTTGAATTTTAACACTACTTGAGGTTGCTTTCATATTAATATAGCTTATGACTTTGCTGTTCTTGATAAAAAGATTTTTTTTTACATTTTCTTCCTATATATAACTTTATAATAATTTGAATTTGATTCCCCCTTGTTTTCCTCCCTACCCCATAGGGCTATGATTTGAATAAACTTTAATCTTCAATACATGAGGATGCTTAAATGTCAATATGACTAAACATAGCTTTTCTGTTCTTGGGATTTTTGCCCTTTATTTTTCTATGTAAAACTTTGATCCACCATATTGTGGCCCCACCTTACCCTTGGGGGTTATGATTTGAACAAATTTAATTCTACACTACCCGAAAATGCTTCGATAAAAATACTAGTATTACTAATCATGGCTTTGCTATTTCCACCCATTGTGGTCAACCCTATCCCTGGAGGTTATGATGTGAACAAACTAGAATCTACACTACCTGAGGATGATTCCACATAAATCTTATAAATCATGGCTTTGAAGTACTTGAGAACAAGATTTTAAAAGAATTCCCTATCTAGTCCTACATGGAACTTTGATCAGCCATTCTGTTTCTCTTGCCTACCGCAAGGGGTCATGATTTGAACAAACGTGAATCTACACTACCTGAGGATAATTTCACATGAGTTTCATCTTTCCAGGCTCAGTGGTTCTTGAGAAGAAGATTTTTAAAGATTTTCCCTACATGCTCCTATATAAAACTTTGATCGGCCATTGTGGCCCCACTCTACCCCCGGGGGTCATGATTTGAATAAATAATAATCTACACAACCTGAGGATTATTTCACATGAGTTTCATCTTTTCAAGTCCAATGGGTATTGAGAAGAAGATTCTAAAAGATTTTCCCTATATACTCCTATGTAAAACTTTGATCAGCCATTGTGGCCCCATCCTACCCTCGGGGATCATGATTTGAATAAATGTGAATCTACACGAATTGAGTATGCTTCCACATGAGTTTCATCTTTCCTGGCCCAGTGGTTCTTGAAAAGAAGATTTTTAAAGATTTTTCCTATATACTCCTATGGAACATTTGATCGGTAATTGTGGCCCCGCCCTACCCCCGTGGGTCATGATTTGAACAAACGTGGATCTACACTATCTGAGGATGATTTCACATGAGTTTTATCTTTCCAGGCCCAGTGGTTCTTGAGAAAAAATTTTTTAAAGATTTTCCCAATATACTCCTATGTAAAACTTTAATCGGCCATTGTGGCCCCATCCTACCCCGGGGGTCATGATTTGAACAAACTTGAATCTACACTGCCTGAGGATGCTTCCACATGAGTTTCATCTTTCCTGGCCCAGTGGTTCTTGAGAAGAAGATTTTTGGAAAATGTCATTTATTTTTCACTAATTCATAATTATCTCCCCTTGGAAAAAGGCTTTACCCTTCATTTGAACAAACTTGAATCCCCTTTACCTAAGGATACTTTGTGCCAAGTTTAATTGAAATTGGCCCAGTGGTTCTTGAGAAGAAGATGAAAATGTGAAAAGTTTACGACGACAACGACAACGCCAACGACAACAACGACAGACAACGGACAGATTTTGATCAGAAAAGCTCACTTGAGCCTTCGGCTCAGGTGAGCTAAAAACGACCAACAGCCGACGGTTTTGAAGCAAAAGTTATATTCTTTGGGTTGTTTGTCGGCAGTTCATCGGCCCGTTGTTTTGCTCAATTATGACCTCTTTTGTTGTCGGCCGACCAATTTGGTATCGGTCCAAGTTATAATTTTTTCTGCGTCGGTGGCCGATTTCTTCAATCGAAGTTATCCATTGCCCATCATTTGGTCCGACTATCAGCGGTCAGTTTATTAAGTCAGTCGACCGCGTCGGTCGACAATAAGGGTTTCCAAAATTTCGGCAGAAGGTTAAAATTAAACTGTTACTCAGAGCTCGATGATCGGGCAACGATTGGCCGACTTATGAATATTTAACTCATTAAGGATGCATTACACAAAAAAAATTTAATGCAAAATGTGACTGCTCCGTGTTGCCCGATACTCGTGTCCGCCGATCATGTTCTTTTAGCCGACAAGACCAAAAACATTTTGTCTCCAGATCGTCGGCTTAAAAGTGACCTAGGCAAAACACTTAAGTTTATTTTATTTTTAAGTATCTTAATGCGCAAACGAGATAATCTTAACATACACATGTATAAAGGGTTCCATATAAATATTATTTTTAGCACAACATATAAGTCGAATTAAAGCGATTTAAGGTTGTGAGGTTTAATTTGTTTTTTTTTTTTGCATTTACATTTTGCTTTGAGCATTCCAGGGGTTAACTATTGGTGCGCTACGAATTCGCACGGGGTCAGCTACATGTACAGTATATATTTGATACCAAGCAACACGGGGTTCACCTTAACAGAAAAAAACTATAGTTAACTACAGTGATCCCCCGTTATAACGCCAACATTTGTACCTTGGTTATTTTGGCATTATAACGGGGGTGGCGTTATATCGGGGGGAGAGAAGTGACGTGCACAAATAAATGAAACAAATTTATGATCAATATACTACATATATTTCTAGATTTTAATGCCTTTATATCAAATAAACAAATATAAAAGCTTACGTATGCCTGTCAGAAAATCACTGTTTTTTGAAAAACAATTGTTGATTGTTCTGATGGTTTTATTTTAATAGCTAATTGCAGTAAAAAGTTTATTTCAGATTTAGTTGGTGATTCTTATGATTCTAAATGCCGTAACAAACATTCAAGTCCCTGTCTGGCCTCTACGTATGTAGGAACACGCGGAGCTGAAGAATATCACATACAGACCTCTTTTTACATAAATTTTTCATAGTTCTATAAAATAATTAGAAATTTCTTACTGAAGATTTTTTTCGTTATATTTAGTGATTTCCATTTTATGTTTCAATTCCAAGATAACGCGCCTTGATTTCGGCGAGTTAGCCATATTCAGACTTCAAAAAGATTTTAACTCAAATAAATATGTATGTAACTTATTATCTACTCCAAATTTTTATACCTGGAAGATTGATGGCGGATAATTGCTTAAGACTTTTCATTGAAATTCTCTCCCTGAAGATATAATTGGCGGTATTTATCGGGGGTGATTATAACGGTAATGGACAGATTTGTACGTGAAATACGTTGGCGGATGGCGATAGGCGGGGGATGGCGGTAAAACGGGGTTTTATATAGCGAGGAAATCGGGACTTGACTTTTTTTTGGCGGTAGGCGGGGGTGGCATTATAACGGGGGGAATTAAGACGGGGGAGCACTGTATATGTTTTCGCTAAAATTTATTAAAATGTCAAAGTTTTCGACAAAGATTATGGTGTCATAGTTTTTCAAAATGTCAAAGTGATCACTATAATAAAACAAAATTTTCGCCAAAGTTTATCAAAATGTCGAAGTTTTCGCCAAAGTTTATCAAAGTGTCGAAGTTTTCGCCAAATTTTTTTTAAGTGTCAAAGTTTTCGAAAATTGTTTTTCAAAGTGTCCAATTTTTTGCCAAAGTTTTTCAAAGTGTCAAACCGTTCACGGTAGCTCAGTCGGTAGAGCGCTCGCTCCGTGATCGGGAGGTCGTGAGTTCGTATCTCTGCCGCGACTGACCTAGTCGTTAAAATTGGTAGCAACTGTTCCTTCGCCATGCGCTCGGCACTTTGAAGTGAAACTTGAGGGTCTATTGGATGAGACCTTAAAAACTGAGGCCCCGTGTCAGCGGCAGGCATTGGCTCTATAAAGATCCTCACTGCTCAATGGCCCTGAGTGCCCAGTAAAGGTGAAAATTTGAAGCCCTTCACCGGCATACGGTGACGTCTCCATATGAGTGGAAAAATCTTGAGAGGGACGTTAAACAATATACAATCAATCAATCAAAGTGTCAAAGTGATCGCTATAGTAAACCTAAGTTTTCATAGTGTCAATGTTATAATTATTAATAGTTAATTATAGTTAACTATACTTAACTGTAGTTATTCATAGTTTTGTTTGTTTGGGCAGTATTGGTGATTTCTGTAGACTTGAGCATACGGTCTACATATATTACATATTTGATAACAAATATTACTAATTTGTTTTTAAATCGAATGCTCCTTTTTATGTACTTTGACTTATTATAGATGTTCCACAAATGGCATTAATCAACATGATTGACCGTGTAGGACAGGAAAAATTAGAGGATGTCTTTTGGTCCAAAAGTGTGGAGAATGTTTGCGAAGGAGCCCGGAGATTTCTGTGTCTTCCACTAAACCATATTCTGCCAATGTCGTGTTACTATAACGAGATACGGCCAACAATTGTTAAGGATACTCTGGCGTTGTTCAACTTAAATTCGATGCTTTACAGCGCAAATGATTATTTGAATGCAAAAATGAAAATTGACACACCAGAAGATTTTTATGACTAAACTTGAAATCTTTATATAAGTTATGCTATAAACAAGATGATTTTTTTCATGTAGAGCTTGACACGTCGTTCGTTTTTATAACGTGTTTGTTTTGAATATATTTAGTGAACTTGTACATAATGATATCTATGATGTCTGCTCTTAGAGAATACTTTTTGTTGTTCTCTATCTCAAGATGTATTGCAAAACCATTTATTTTAAGATATCTATATTATAATGTACATGAAATGATTTATAACTATACAAGAATATAGAATATAATAATGATAAAAAAAGTTAATCCTGAAACTTTTTAACTCGATTTTTTACCGTAACTACAAGCAAATTTTGACTTATTTTGGAATAAAACATCTATGGGTAAATGGGTATTTTATTTTCTGTGGTGGAGCAAATCCATCAATATCAATGAGTCAAATGCATTCGTCTTTCTTCCTGGACAATCAGCATCCATATAGTTGGCATGAATATAATATTCATTGAGCCCTAAATAAGTAAATGCAAACAATGCCATCATGTCAACAATAAAAACCGTCAAGAAAATTCATTCTGTATGATGCTAGCTCTTTGATCTAGTGCTGTAGGTTAAAACCCCAAGTATTTGATAGAAAATATTATTATTCCTTTATCAAACACCCTTCCCTTTGAATTGAAAGTTTTGAGTCTTTCGAGTGATTCAATAAAAGTACAAGCCTGTGTCACGACCGTTGGAAAAATTGAGATCCCTCATTGCCCAATAGCCATATTGGCAAACAGAGGTCCTTGGTTGAAGCCTATATATGGTGATAAATGTAGTGTACATCTTTTTGATGGAATATAACATACAGGCAATCAATGAAACATAGAATTTGCCTTATGTGGGTTTTCAACAAGATGTTTGACACACCATGCAACATCAACATTACTACAATAGCCTGCTATTTTGTCCCCCGCTTCCACTGAAATATGGGAGATACTCTAATTACTAAGATTTGCAATGACATACAATAAACAACTTGCTATGACCTCATAAATACCCCCATCAAGTTTGAAGTTAAAAATGTAAAGGTCAAGGTTAAAAGATTTTTTCTGTTTTAACGGTTTCATTTCACGTTGCAATATTTGTAAGGTAGCCTCAATTGATATTTTGCAGGGACATTTCATTCCACAAATCCCAAAAGCCACGAGAAAACCCTAATGATGTGGGGTAAAAAATTGAATGGTCCAGCTTGTAAATCCAAACATTCTGTTTGTGTGTAAATTAAACTTTCTTTTCCTCGTGATATCTCAAAAAGCTTTTGAGCTTTTGCAATAACTATAACTACATATAGCTCCTCTCGCTCGTCTACCCCCCCCCCCCCCGATTGATCCCCTCTATATCCGAACACGCTTTGTTTACATTAGCGGGGGACACATATTCTCTGAATAAGCTTTTTTCTTGGATATTTTTCTTAGAATGTAAAATAGAGATAAGAAACAGTAAAAAAAAGAGCTCACGACTACACATTGTAACAATATATACCGGGAACGAAGCACACACGGACTTCTTAAAAAAAGACGTGGAATCAGGTCCAAGAGGGAGTTCATTATCACCTCCTTCCTTGTTCGGTCAGAATCTATTGCTTCAAAACTATATATCACACTTTTAAATTATTTTTTTCTAATATACTTATTTTTAACAAGGTAATTTGTTCAACATTAAATAAACACTGCCAATAAAAATGATAGGCAAGAATAATGAGAAACTATTTATAATAGAAGAGGAATATTTAGGAAATTTTTAATATTTTTAAAACAAATTTTACGTTTCCTAAACAATTACCGAAAAAAAATAAATAATTTTTAAAAATTCAGGATAGAATTCACACGGGTCTTTTGAGCGAAAAGTGCAAAAAGTTTTATACAATGAAATATTTTATGGCTCATGAAGTTTCTCTTCAAATGCTGAATAAATTAAGTGAGGCGAAAGAAAATTGTAGGCTTAAGCTTCATCCAACATCTACAAGATCCCACAGTGTGTCTTCTTTTAAAACTAGGATATTGATTAGGTTTTAGAGTCCAGCATAGGTAAAGAAATTCAAATTAATTCTTTATTATTTAGTTTTGTCAATTAAGAGTAGAAAACACTCCATCTCAGATATGACATTTAATTGAAAAAAAAAAATAAATGTAATGTCAAGATGTACATGTAAGTAACCCAGGTTTATAAAGTATTGTTTAATTTCTACAACAAATCAAAAAGTATGCTACATCTTTAATTAAATTATTAAGGATTGTGAGGAAAAAAGTCGTGTATACGTACCCAAGCGTACATTTATACACACAAACATCCGCATCATTTTGAAGAGAAAAAAGGAGAGAGAGTTGGGAACAACCGAATAAAGTTCCAGGACTGATTGTATGCATTTAAAGCATGCACATCATTTTGCAAAAAAAAAAAAAAATAATAATAATAATATGGTTAATAATTAATTTAAAAACAATTACAATAAAAAAGAAAATTAAAAGATTCACTTTTAGGGATAAAAAAAAGTAGTTGAATCTATACTTTTCAAAAGTTATTCCCCTTGCCTGCCATCTTTCAGGAAAAACCTATAGAATCCTTACACTAACCTTTGTAGTTCAATCTTAAAATATCCTGTTTATCTTGTATATTGAATGTCCCAATCTGGGGCTACACATATATCAAGAGACAGATATTAAATACAGTGGATTACTCAGCATGCCCAAATGTTTGGTAGCATAAAGAGGAGAATATCATCTCTTTCCCTTTTGGCTTTTTGCGCGGGTAGGATTAAGGAAGTATATAAATCATTTCTCGGGAAATTAAGACTTTTTTGAAAAAAATTAAGTTTGATAACTTATCAAAACCACTGATAAACGTAAACTATTATAAACTTTTGCATAAAGATAAAAGAGTGTCTAGTACAAAGACGTGCGCCACCACCACAGGGTCAGGTGATTTCTATTAAGGAAAGATGATAGAAACCTTTTTTTCTTTGGAGGAGACTTAATATCATGTCACGGGTTCAGAAAAGTGGATAATTCTGAGCCTTTTTCTCCTACAAACTCGAAAATGAAAACATAGAAATGGAAAATATTAGTAATTTTTCTATAAAATTACAAATATGGACAAAAGACACTCAGTTAAGGTTTACAGATGAAAATAAATTTCATCATATATTACCATGGTTCTTAAAGTGTAATATAAACTTTAGAAAAGTATACCAAGCCAGATGAATTTTATCAGGGAAAGCCAAGTGGTAAAAATCAACCTATATTATATTGCTAATTTTTTGTCTTTTTGTTTTTCCTCATAAAATTCACCTTGCTTTGTATACTTTTCTAAAGTTTATATTACAATTTTTGCACCAAGGTAACATATTCCGAAAAAAATTAAAACATAAATACTGTTTTTACTTCAGTGGAGAAAATAACAATCTAAGAAAATATGTCTTTGATTATATCCATCTTTTTAAATGTGTGCATTAAATGATTTGATAACAGATTTTATAATAGGTGTTACAATGGAAATCAAATTATATCCCAGGGTAAATCACTTTTTGCAGAAGCCCCCCACAGAATAACAACTTTTTTGTAATCAGTGTTGAGATGATTCTTATTATCTTGCATGTTGACATAAATCAGTTTCATGTCATCATAAATATCTTGTATGTCTACATAATTATCTCGCATATTAACATAAGTATCTTGCAAGTTGGCATAAATAAGTTGCATGTCGACATAATTAATTCGCATGTTGACATAAATATCTTGCATGTCTACAAAATTATCTTATTATTCAATGTCAAATACGGGCGCCAGCACGTGATTTAACCCAGATTTAAATCAGATTTCCTAAAAAAGATTTGTAACTTGCATGTCAACATAATTATCTTGCATGTATACTTCATTTTCTTGCATGTATACATAATTTTCTTGTATGTTAACATAACTTTCTTGCATGTTAACTAGCATGTAATGGGCAGAAATATGCCACCATAATTGATGATAAAATTAACAAATGTTATTAGTGTTTTTTTAATCAACATTTATATAGATTAGGTAAAATTGACGTTATTATTAAAAGCTAAAATTTGAATATATTGCTTGAGTTAATGAACATCAAATCAAACAGATGGTCTCACAGATGACATCATCATGTCCTACATACTCATACTGTGATATAGTACATACATGAACATAATTTGGCTCTAATTCATAATATACAAAAGAGTATTTCTATTGATTATAGTTTAACAATTCTATAATGGTTGGCAAAAAAGCGGGAAATACTTAGATTTCCAAGGATAATGGGAAATGCTACTGATAATTTCCAGGAATTATTGATATTTATTGGTAGTCTGATATATAAGAACAAGATGCATATTCATTATTTCAATCATGCTTGCTTGTTTCAAAACAAGCAGTTTACATGTTCCTATTTGGTCAGTCATCAACCTAGTATCACTTACTATTTCAAAATTTCAGGGTTGCTAGTACATTTACTTCCTTTTGAAAAATCATGTTAATAATACACTAATATACCTAAATGCTTGAGGGTCATTTGTGTCTTAATTGAGTCAGATGTCTATAAAAGTCCATGAAATGCACCGATAGTTATCGGTCTACGTACACTGACTTCTTTGCTTATAATTAATTATCAATAAGTAAATAGAGAAAAATTATTACATGACAACATAATAATATACATGCTAGTCACAATAAGATAAATTAAAATAAAGAAATTAATCTGAAAAGTGGAAAACAATACCTATCAACTGGTGTTATTATTTATATATATTTACAAAACTAACATTTAACTTCATAGAAAATATAAAAGCATATTGTTAATTGGTATAAGCCTGTACTTTGAAATATTCTATTCTATCGAGCAGCAAGTAAAACATTCTGATTTTAAGGTGGTAGGAGTGTCAAGTACAAATTGAAACAAAAACATCAAATCAAAATGTATACTATAATACACCGAAAATACAATTTGTCATGATATAGTTTGTTCCTTTTGAGTTAAATTTTAAAAGATTCAAAATGGAAATTAATTCCAGTTCACAGAATGTCTTTATTATAGATCATCATCTTGTTTATTTATCGCGTTTATTCATATGAACACGCGCTCGCTTCATTATCGTGTTGATGTTGAACAAAGTAATCAGATCCTTGAAATCAATCGAGACTACTTCATCGCTATAACTGGACTGCGGGAAAACGTCGTTAGGGTTAAGACAGAGAAAGTCT